TTCTAGTTCTCCTACTCTGCTTTACAAACAATATCATTTTCTCAATATATCCCTAGTTTTTAAATAGGTTTTTTTCATGTTCTGGTCTGGTACTTGGTACCCAACCATGCTTTGGACATTAGTGTCCCATATTGGAAAATTACTAGCAACCCTAGCCCCAAAGCTACAAGAGAATTTCAGGTGTAAAGTTTTTAATGTTCTCCTTATGTTAATCAAATCACTTCTCTAACCCAGAAATTAACATTCCATTAGGAACACCACTCTATAAATTACCCCAATTACTTGTTGACCATATTTTGTGTTTCACCTTTTTTTCCTCCACACTTAACTATACCTCTTAATTTTATAATAAATTTTATTATCTTTTTAAATGAAAAACATTGATATAATAAAATATCAAGCCTCTTTGATTTCATTTTTTTCTTTTAAACTCAGGTCTTAATTTTGTGTTTATTTTGTATCTATTATTTGGCAGTCTTTCTAGTTTAACTACAAAGAAAGGTTATAAATTATAATGTCTGTAAGGCATCTAATTATTTGAATTTGATAACCATGTTTTAAAATAAAATAGTATGACCACTGTAATTCCAATTTGGTAGGTAGAAATATCTGTGTAGACACATATAACCAGTATGTATTATGCCATACTTATAGTACAATTTTAAATCTATTCAAGTACTCTGCTTGAACAGCACAGGATAAGGAAACTGGGTCCTTCTTGAAATAGCACTCTCCAGTTATTCTTTTTAGGAGTCCTTTGGTGGGGGCAAAGACAAGCGAATTTCACATAAGGGGAGCTGCTGCTACAACAGCCATCGTACTCCCTGCCTTCCTTCCCTGCTACCCATTGTCACTCTGTAGTCAGTTGGTCCCTGCCTGTGCTGCTTTTTTTGAATTCCTGAACTCTAAACCACATATAGACTACTTCCCACTTAGTTTGTTAGTCTCCTCTGGGCTGGGATCTTCTTTCCTTCTGGCTTACAAAAAAGTACATTTTGTTTCTTAGGATTGACTCTTCTGATGAAGGTTCCCATGGCAGAGTTGTTGGGGCCCAGAGTGACAATCTCCTTTATAGAATAGCCCTCTTCTTTCCAGCACAGGGAGGGGAGGAGAGAGGCAGTGAAGGAGGCTTGCAGCTCGAAGCTGGGTCTAGATTAGGAGAGGGTTGGCCACAGTCAGCAAAGAGGATGATCCCTTCATCTTTCAAGCTCTGCTGCACAATCTCCTCCATTTTCCTGTATATTTCTCATGCATGGTGATGTGCTTTGAGGGGGGATCCATTATTTCTTCTACCAGTTTAGGACAAATACAGACTTTTAGTTCATTGGATAGACATATATACACCTGAAAAATGTTCCTACCATAGGGCTTTCTAGCCTGATGGTAGTCAAGGAATCTGTTTTACTCTCCCTGACTGTTCTGCAAAAGTTGGGAGTTCCTAATTATTCTGTGACACAGAAGCCTGTTCCACTCAGAGTACACAGATGATCTTTAAGGGTTAATGTTACCTGTTTCCATATATCAGCCTAATAGTGTTTCATCTTTGAGCTGACCCCAAATAATACTTGTTTTACTTCATTAAAAGACAATGGGAGTGAGGGGAAGAATATACCAAAAAATATTAATAATGGTTATATATAGGATGAGATCATGAAAGATCCTTACTTTCATTTTTTCACTTTTTAGCTTTCTAATTTTTTAAAAAAATGAATATTAATTAATTTTATGTTGAGCAAAACAATTCATGAAAGAAACAAAAAAAACCCCATAAAATATTTATTATGTTCTCAGAACTTTGCCCAATATCTTCTGGGGATGACGGCTGTTAAAATTATAAAATAATTCCCTTTGTTTAGAATTTTCCATTATTATAAATGCTCCCATAAGTAGATAGTTCTACTCTGAATCTTATTTGAGACATTTACATTGCTTCTCAAGGAAGCCATCTTCAGTTCTCATTAGGACTTCAGATTTTATTTTTAAAATTATAGTCATCTATCTACATTGTCTCTTTACCATGTCATGCAAAAACAAATCATGTAATGGTATTATCCTATGGTGTCAACATCTAGCTACAGAAGAGAATTTGATCTCTCCTCCACATGACATTGCTTCTAGAGGCCTCTTATGAGAGCAGAGTCTCTTATTTTCTCATTAAAAGTTGTTGCTGTTCCATGTACAGTATATATAAATCTGAAGACATGTACAGAAGTAGCATTCAGTTGGGTATGCTACACATGTGCGATTCTGGACAAACAGTCCCATTCAGAGAACCAATTATTTTGCAATCACAATACTCACTGCAAAAAAAAAAATACTAAAGAATATGTCAAAATGAAGTGAAAGCAAGTGTTCAACTGGTTTCACTTTAAGGCAAGCTTAATTCTTCCTAAGCATCCTCTTGCTCCCATGCCCATGACTGGTCACCTAATGACAGGACAACGCCACCTGTCTCACATACCTAAGCATGACATGTATTAGAAGACTAACCTTCAATATCAATTGCTGAACAACTCAAACATCTTAACTGCCAAGAACTACATGAATTTTCAAGCACAGAGCATCATGACCCACATATTCCCTCTGCTTATAAATAAAAGAACAACTCAGAAGAAACATACTAGCAAAAAGGCAAAAAAAAAAGTTGTTGCTGTTCCAACAACAGTTCCATGCATATGACTAATAATAGTCAAACTATGATTAAAAGTGAGTAATATCAGAAACAAGAAGTTACACAGTTACACCCTTCAAATACCTAAGCACTACCAAATAAAGCCTCCTAGAACAAATGCAAAAGTAGAAGAAAAAAGAGACTTATTTTATGCCACCATAAAATACTGGCATATCATAAAATAAAAGTTATTTCTGCACAGAGGATTTCTTAGATAGCACAAATCATACATTATTAAAATAATTTAAAATTTACTTTTAGTACATCTAGTTTTGAAAAATAAACCCACCCTGTTCATTGTGGTTGACCCAGATCTTTACAGCAAAATACCGATTCACATATATTCATATGAAACACTTGCAGACTAATATACCTGATGGAATTGAAATTCATTTAACATACTGAATGTTTCCTGAAGTGTGCGCAGATCTTAGATCCTTAACAACTGATTCATAAAATAGTGAGTATAAAACTACTAGTTTTGCCACCATCTGTTAGTTATCACCCTCACCAATCTCTCTACCTGCATTAATAAATATCCCCTTTAAAAATTCCTGAGGCGCATTAGGCTATGTATGTATGAGGTTCTATTGCCTTAATATCTGTGTTGAGGCTACTTGGCAAACTGCTTTGTAACAACCCTGGGTGCATCCAAAGCAGAGTAAATTGACTGTGTAATCTGACAGGTAAAGAAGTCTCTGGAGTTCAGCTTTACTGGGCGTCTCTCAGTTTGTATGTTATACGGACTCTCAGAGCCAGCAGACATGCCATGGGGCCACTACTGGGGTCATGGCTGGTGAGGGCCCTTCACAACACAAACTGGGGATGGACTGCTTATCCTGTGCTGGAGGGAGGACAGGGCACAGTCTCATTCATTCATAGCCAGTGAGAGCTGAGTGTGGCAATGCCCAAAGAGGAAGATGACCAATGCTCCTTAGAGAGTTGTCCCTGGGCCTAAAGACCTGACTGCGGATTCAGAACTGACAATTTCACACAGGAGGCAGCATCAGCTGCAGACAGCAGCCCAGAAACCAGCATATACTGCCATCCTACTTCTGAAAACCAGCCTGAGGCAGAGAGTGCCTTTCGCTCAGGTCACAAAGAAACCTGGCTTCCTCTGCACATATCTAAGTTCCATCTTAGGGAGGAAAGCAGGGGATGGAGAGAGGAACATGAGAGACTAGGAATTTTTATGCAAGAAAGACGAACACAACATGAAGAGACTATCTAATTTCTTAAATCAGATAAACTTAATCACAGAAGAATAAAAGTCGATTTTTATCCTTAATAAACAACTGATGGTGGCTGGAGTAATGATCAGATTAGCTATGGTTGAAGTAAAACAAATTAATTTTCTTTGTGCATTCAAAAGACAGTTTGAGTTAAACCCTTTCACGCTTGCACACTGGCATTTATTAGATTAACTTTTGCCAGATCCTGTACATACATTATCTCATTTAATTCTCACACAAGCCCTGTGTGAGGGAGAGCATTATAATCCCCATTTTACACATGAGGAAAATGAGGCTAAAAGAGGTTATGCAACTTGCACAAAGTCACATAGCTAGTAACAGACCCGGGACAGGGAATGGATTTCTTATTTAAATGTTTTAATTTTAAAATACTTAAAATACACTTTAGAGGAATTGAATTTTTTGAAATTTGAAGATATTCAAGTGGAAGACTTCTGGATAGAGAAAGCTGAGTTGTCTTGGAAGGAAGTATTTGCTTTCTGATTTGCATTTGAGATTTTGGTCTTTAGGCAAATTTTGAAGAAAATGGATGTTTAAAAGGAGCAGGCAGAATTCTGCCAGTCTTGCTAGCAGTGAGGTAGTAATATGTGTTCACTGGAAAGACATTTTCAGTACGGTAAGAACCAGAATGCCATTGGTGACTTGCTTCTCTCATGTGATGGCACCGAGAAGCCTCCAAAAGCAGGTTTTTCAGGTATGGTCTTTGCAGTTAATCAAGTCTGGGTTTAATCCCTGTTCAGCCACATAATAGCTATGTATGATGGTGACCATTTTAAGCTCATTTTCATAAAGTTAAAATGGCAACATGTCTAATCAGGATGAAATGAGATAGCACATGTAACATACTAAACGTGGTACCTGCAACATAGTTGATGTTCAAAACTGTCAATTTGCATCTGGCTTGATCTCATTATTTTTTTCAAAAAGTGAAAGCTAATATTAACTCCCAGATTTTTATTTTTACATTTAACAAATGCAAATGTGCAATCGAGTTAATACCTTGGTTTACAAAGACAGAGCAAAAGAAATCATCTCCTGGAGTATATTTATCAAGTTTAGAACATGCATTTGCTTACCAGCTCACTGAATTCATTATTGCCTAGGTCAAGTCTTTCCAACTGGGCCAGTTTGTGCATTGACCTATAATAGATGGAGAAAAATGCTATTGTGAGGCAGTGCATGATACATTGCTCTAAAAGACATTCCAACCACCTTCCTGTCAGATTTACCTGATTGTATAGGGGTACTCTTCAGCAAGAAGTAAATCTCAAATACATAAAACCTATGCAAACTGCCATCTGAAAACCTTTAGTAGTTTACCATAATCTACAGCATCTTTTCACAAATGCCAATATGGTTGGCAGGAAGGGCTGGCTGCTTAACAAAAATCCAAGAAGCTTATTAAATAGCTGTACCAGTGGGAGGTGTAGGGTGGGGCCCCACTTCAATATTTTTAAGGGTCACCACAGGTTTGGAAGTCAATGGCCGAAACCAATTCTCAGCAAACCGTTCAAAAACCTCATAATATGGCACAATTTCATCATCAGTCTTATTATTTTCTACTCCCTTAAATGAACTTCTGTTATAGACAAATTACAGTCATTGTCTCCCAAACATATTGACTTGAAAGCTGCTACAGCAATGAATAGTTGTCAGGCTGCTATGGTTTGGCTCTGTGTCCCCACCCAAATCTCATCTTGACTTGCAATCCCATAATCCCTACATTGAGGGAGGGACCTGGTGAGAGGTCATTGGATCATGGGGGTGATTTCTCCCATGCTTTTCTCATGAAAGTAGATGAGTTCTCATGAGATCTGATAGTTTTGTAAGGCTTGACAGTTCCTCCTTTACATGCTCTCTCTTGCCTGCTGCCACGTAAGATGTGCCTGCTTCCCCTTCTGCCATGATTTTAAATTTCTTAAATCCTGCCCAGCCATGTGGAACTGTGAGTCAACTTTTCTTTATAAATTACTCAGTCTGGAGCAGTTCTTTATAGCAGCATGAAAACAGACTAATACACAAACCTTAGGCAAGAGTTGGTGTCAAAGGTTCAGGGAACCCAAGTGTACTCCATATGCAGTCAGCATTTCTCAAAGCACTCTCAAGTAAAAGTACAATATGAGAAAAGATAGTGTTTTTCTGAAAGATTTTTTTTATCTTCCCCACTAATCAGAATTCTCTCCTTAAGTTCTGCCTATACAGGAATTCTTGAGATGCCACTGACTGAAATCTCAGAAATTTTAGTTTTATCACATTTAAAATGGATGTAGAAATTACCTTAAAGGGCTTTTATGAACTTTAAGTGAAATACTACTGCAATCCAGAAACTATCAGACACTCAGAAACGCAAAAAAAAGTATGTAATCTTTCTTCACTCAGAAACTATTATTGAGAAAGTATTATGCGCTGATCTGGGGTACAGCAGTGAACAAAACAGATAAAAATTCCTACCTCAAAGGACTTTACTTCCAGTAGGGAAGAATTAGAGTAAACAAAATAATAAAATAAAATAACATATTAAAAGGTTACAAGTGCTATGGAGAAAAGTTAAGCAGAAGAGGTAGATAGGGAGAATTCACATAAGGATTTAATTTTTAGTAGGGTGATCAGGTAAGTCCTCAATGAGAAGATGAAATTTGAGCCAAGCCTGAAAAGAAATGAAGAAGCATGCTAATATGGAGATTCTAAAGCAGGGCCATTTTGCTTGCTTGAAGACATCCTAGGAGACCAGTATGGCTAAAAAAAGAGAGTGAGGGAGGAGTAAAGAGATGATGTAATGGGGAGTTGCATAATATGGGAACTTACAGCACAATGTACAGACTTTGGCTTTGATTCTGAGTAGGATGGGGGTCACTGAAAGGTTTTTATGAAAGATGTCTCTGAAACGATTTGTTTTAAAAGAATGTCTGTGATTCCAGGCCTATAAACAGAGTGAGGGGGACAACAGTAGAAGCAGGAAGATCAAATAGGAGGCTAAGGTAGTAAGTCAAATAAGAGGTGATGGTGGCTTGGACCACATCCATTTTTCTTATTCTATGAAGGATGCAGCTGCAAGTGACTGATGAGGAAGACCAGGTAGAGCAGGGTTTTGGGTAGACTGGAAGTTCAGTTTTATGTGCTCAGTTGGAAATCTCTACTCTAGAGCCAACTAGAGATGTTACTCATGCAGTTGTACAAACAAGCCTAGAGATCAGGAAAGACGTCTAGGAAAGACATCATAATTTGAGCATGGTAGCATAGAGGTGGCTTGTCAGCTCACTGAATTCATTATTGCCTAGGTCAAGTCTTTCCAGCTGAGCCAGTTTGTGCATTTACCTATAACAGATGAAGAAAGATACTATTGTGAGGTCTTGAGGATATAAGATCATCAAGGGCATAAATGCAGATGAAATGATGTCTAAATGGATATGAAGAATAAATAAAACTGAAAAGTGACTAGGGATGTAGAAGAAAAAAATCAGAAGAGTGTAAAGTCCTGGAAGCCAAGTAAGACTAGTATTTCTAGGTGGCTACTATGACCAATTGTGACAAAAGCCACTGATGATCTGAGAACTGACCACTTAATTAGACAACATGGAGATTAGTGGTGATTTTGAGATGAGTAGTTTTACAAGTTTTAAGCTTTTGCTAATGCTCTTTCTTCTATTCAATATGCTTTTACCTATTTATCACTCAAAATTATTTATACAATAACAAAAATATATTAATTTCCTATTTTCTCCCAGGTTTTAGGGTTATAAAGATGAAAGGTGTTGTCCCCAGTATTAAGCAGTTCATAATCTTGAGAGAAATTACAAATGAATGATTTCTACCTGACAGGGTATTTGTCATAAAAAATCATATGTGTAGATTGCTAGAGGACAAAGAGAAGAGGTACTTTTTCAGCCTTGGTGGAGGTGGGAATAGAAAACAGAAGGCTTTACTGAAGCTTTACTTTGGAGAAGCAGATGAGGTTAAAGAATCAGGGGAGATGGCCATTTCAGGAGAAAATGTCAAAGAGGTAGGATGGAAGAGATCACGGCCCATTCAAGGACTTGCAGGTTAGTAAGAGTAGTAAGAATTAATGTAAGAAGAAATATGAAAAATAGTAGAAAATAAGAAATAATATGTAGCTAGACACTAGATCATGAGGTCATCTCCTGTATCAAGCCAAGGAATTTGAGTTTTAGCTTGAAGGCAATGGAAGGCTTTAAGTTTTAGGTAGGAAAAAGATACGAGGTTTTTATTTTAGAAAGCTTACATCAGCAGCTTGGAATGATGTGGGGAATGGGGAGAAGATGTGCTAGCCCTAAGGCCAGATAACAGACTGTCTTGAAATTCATGTGGGATATAATTGGGGCCAGAAATAAGGCAATAGCAATATGAATAATGTGGTGGCAGATAGGAGAGATGCTTTGGCGAAAGACATGACTTGATTTATGATGATGACTGGATGTCAGAAGTAAAGGAGAGGGAAAAATTAAAAGATAGTCTCTCAGTTGAATAAGAGTGTAAGAATATTATAATGGAATAAATCTAAGGTGGAGATAGGTTGAATGTAATGTATTGTATTTTAAATACTACATTGGCTTTGAGGTGAATGCAAGATATATTAGGAAAAAATGTGTGTGTGTGTGTGTTTGTGTGTTATCTGTGTCTGGAGCTGAGGCAAAAAGTCTTCACTGGAAATAGACTCAGGAATAGAATCTTCTTATCTACACTACCGGAAAAGGAACTCTCCCTTTTAACCCACATTCCATTTTCTTCCTTTTGCATGATTTACTTGGAGTTTACCACACGCTTTCATGAATTGTTAGATTTTTCAAATCTATCAGCCTCCTTTCTCCACCTAGATCTTAAAATACGTTTTAAGATGCCCAGAACGTCTTGTGTGGGACCACCAGCAGTCCAAAGATGGTTGTAAAATCTTGACAAATGCTTGTAAGAACATCTGCTACACCTCTCACTAAATGTATACCACTGAATAAGCGCTTCTAGGGAAAGGGGATTGGGTAATAGGTGGGCCCCATGAAGAGAGAATTAGATTGTCTTCTGAGCCTGGGAATATGAAGTAAGATTCTCTCAAACCTTACTCTGAGACCACATATCCAACAAACAAACAATGAGCACCAAAGTATTGGGGGCTCAGGTGAAGGATCAAGTGGCCAAGTGTGGCAAGTGAATAAGAAATGCTCATAGGAACAGTAGGGACACTTGCATTTGACTTGACCATACAGTTCTGGACAACATGTATTCTAGTGAGAACCATAATGAGCTAAAGACTAGAAGCCTATCAGCAATTTCTGGGATTCTATAAATTCTGCAGTTCTCATTGATGTCCAAGGAAGGTTTGATATAAAACCGAGAATAGATTTTTTTGCCAGCCCTGTGGTGGAGGCCCAAGACAAAACTAATTTTATTAAAAGAAGAACTGAGTGATATTTTATGCCTGTGTCTTAAAAAAATATTTTATTAGTAATAAGACTTATCTTTTTAAAGGCTAAATATTAATGATCTCTTAAATCCCTGGTATAATAGTGTTTCCAGACTTCTAAACACACTGATTATTCAATTTAGACCTACTAAAAATTGTCAATGTTTATTTTCCAAAACAGAGCAGGCCCAAATCTGACACTCTTTTTTTTTTTTTTTTTTTTAAGTGGTTCTGGGTTTAACTGGGGTCAAAGGGTGCTGCACCGTTGCTCAGGGTCCCCACAGCTAGGCGGCACGAGTGTTTGCTTTTGCGCAACAGAGGAGCGTGGCCCAACGAGAAACAACTGTGGGCCCTCGCGTCTGCCTCCAGGACCTGAGGGTCACGGGGCAGCTCTGCTGACCAGGCCTTCTCTTTGGAACACCCCTTCCACCACACTGCCCTGGGTCTGGGAGCCTGCCACCCCTGCTGAAGTCAATTCCTTAAGGGAGAGTCTGGGGATGGACTGGCAGTGGGGACCCCTGGGCCCCCAATCCGGAAAGACTCCCTCCCAGTCATTTTGGGAACAATAAATATTGTGCAAAGGCGGCAGGGAGTGGAGGGTTTGGCCACAGGCGACTGGCAGCCGGGAAGCCAGAGGGCCCAGCCGCCATGCCCCGCCCCGAGGCCAGGCCTGAGCGCCCTACCCTCACTCCGAACGGAGAATGATGTGGATGTCGGAATCCGAGAA